AAAAAAAAGAGAATATTAGCGTATTTTTTAGATAGATTTCGCATGAAGTTAAAAATATACTTATTGTGGGTTGGGTAAATATATTTTTTTTGAAAGTTTTTATCTATATATAATAATATGAGTGAATTTTTTAGATAATTTCAAATAAAAATAAAATGTATATGATACGTAGATTAGTTAAATCTATACTTTAAAAAAATATCTATATAAAAGAATATGAGTGATATTAAAAATAGATTTTGAATGAAGGTAAAAAGTGATTATGAGTATACCTCACTCAAATAATAACAAAAACAAAGATAACATATCTATATATATATATATATATATATATATATATTATAGTTATATAAATTTAAAATATACAGATAAGGCCAATTCTCCTTGAACTGACTGGACAATTTAATATTATAAATGAGGCGTAATTAATGGCTACAAATATTATATATTGTGGACCGTTGATGGGAACGAAACGAAAAAAGTGAAAGTTGAGGTGTCCACCATTTATTCGTTACACATTTTTGTGTGTTTGATAATGCCACGAGACACCTGAAATATTCAACTTTTGATTTTTCAAACACAAAAAGTCCAGTTGACTTTTATATGCTTGTGCTATTGCGGGTTTATATTTTAATTTTTATTTCATAAACCGAACTAACTAGGGTTTGAAATTTTCTTCCTCTTTTTTTTTGGGGGTAAAAAAGGGTTTGATTTTTTCAAATGTTATTTAAACTATTTACCGATTAGTCTGATTTTTTTTTTTGTTTGGGAAACATAAACGCAATTTGTTATAAAGAACCTTCATATATTCATTACATACATTCATACATACATACGTACGTACGTACGTACATATACATAATGACACAAAGATCAATCGCAAGAGAGTGAGATGTCTTCAACGACGAGCACATGATACATGGTGGATAGAGGCGACCTTAACCATAATTAACATAATTTGTGGACGTGACGTGAGTTCTGGATGGTCCATAAAAGTTGAATGTGGACCTAATAGTCACCCAATTAATCTCACAATATTTAAACCGAAGCTACCCGTCGAAGCAGAGGATGAGAGAGGTTTTCGGTTCCTCTAGCTGATACCGAGGGTTCTCGAGTCACTGGGAAAAACGACGTCGTTGTGTGCCGACAGAGTAAAAGTTGGCGTGCCGACAATCTATTTATTACACAGTTAGTAGTATGGCCATGACTTTTCGGACACTCGACAAACACACATGCATTACGATGAATTATTGGACTTTTGACTTTCCACATCCACAAGTACGGCGATGTCGTTTTCGTTTTTAAGTTTCCAAGAGAAAATGCAAATACAAATTTTTTTTTCTTGGTATGAAAAAAAATTGACGGAACCGCATGCAATTTGATTTTATGTTTCGATAACGTATGAAAGCAATTTGTTACACCAACAAAGAACCTTCATGTTCATTACAAACGACACACACACACATATGTATGTATGTATGTATGTATGTAACCACACGGAGATCAACAACAGGAGACAACCTTAATTATTGCATATGTCATATACCCATAATAACATTTATTGTGTAGAATTAATTTTTAGTAGGGATATGGATAATCAAGGCTCAAGGACGGCAAGGCGGGTAGCGACAGGATCTCCGGGGGTATCCAGTTCCTTGACCTGGATAAGACCCATAAGATGGAGGAAACTGATCTTTAGATGGATTCTTGACGCCGAGAATCCACTGATTGGTACCTGGCGAAAACGTCAAAGGTGAAGCGTGAGAAGATGAGAGAATCGCCATGAGAGAGAAAACCAACGCTAGGAGAATCTTTGGAGAGATGAAACCTGCCATTTCTCTCTTTTATCTCTCTACTCTGGAAATTGCATGTAGGGAGGGAGTGCCTTCGAGTCCTTTTGGTATTTATAGAGGGCCTTTTTTTGGACTAAATTACTTTTAGAAACCGAAAGTTTTACTTTTTCCATGGAAAACGATTTCATATATAAGGTTTTCGTTTGAAAAGTCGGAGAAAAATGAGAGATCACAATAGATTAATATGGCAGGACGAAAAAAAAAATACTCTCGCCTCTTTATTTTGACTTCAAGATATACACTTCTCCATCTCTGATTCTATGATCAGAATTACAATCTAATCACATGCTGTTTACATTGTTCATAACGTTAAATTTATTTATGGTGATCACACTAATTTATTATGTTCAATCTTTACATATCTCACTAATCATTTGATAAAAAACATTATAAATTTAACGTTATGATTATTATGTCCAACACAGAGTCACAACTAGGAAAATGTATAGCTAGAAGTCAAAATAGTAAAGTAGAAATATTTTTTATATAATGTGGTATAAAACAACATAGTGATCAACATAAAAATCCATATTTAATATAAAAAGTCATTAAAACGGATAAATAATTAGTTATGTTAAATTTTTGCGAGAATAATTTTCAATGTTCTGACTTTTAAATTCCTGATTGTTGTATAATATTTCAATGCTAATTTCCGAGGATTTTCCTCACCTGTCCTTGTTGTTGATCTAAATCAACATGATTCAACATACACTTAATCCCTGCCCAATAAAAAATAAAGAAGCATTCACTCAAATAATTATGTACATATTAATATATAAAAACATCGACATGCCAATAGCTATCAGGACAAGTTTCGAATCTTCATCACGAGGTCTTTTTATTTTTCTTTATTTTTAAAATTTTTTAAAAACGATTTATAACCGATTAAAAGAATAATCAAGCGGAATTGTAAGTTTTCAAGAATAGGTTGTATTTGTTTTGTATCAAGGGAAAAACCATATATACCATAAAATTGACTCTTGTGCATTATTCGACTTTTTAACAGGGACACGTTGCTTCCCTTCCCTCTGTTTATTTAGGGTTAATTAAAATGATTTTGATTTGCTCTGGGAAAATTCCAATAAGTAGACAATCAATATGATTTTGATTTGCTCTACGAAAATTCAATATTTTGAAAAAAAATATATGATTTTGATTTGCTCTACGAAAATTCCGAGCAGGCAAAATATATCAATGAATCACTCTACATCAGATGTGTCAATTTTAACCTAAACCCTCATACTAAGTGCAAATTTGCATTGGGTCAGGAACGATCCGATTGACACCTCTATTCCACGTAAAGACACCAAAAAGGAAATTAACGACATTGATAGGAGGGAAGCATCTTGTTCTTTTTTATCCATCGTATCCTCTAAGGAATACGTCTAGTGTATAACCATTCTGTTTTTTCATATTTTAATTTCCAACTTTTCAATATTTATTTAATTTCTGAATTTTCAATATTCTATATCAATATTTTGATTTCACAAAATTACGAAAACATATATCTTTTAGAACAACTAAAATCAAACAAAAAAACAATATTATATCGTTGTACCGTTTCTCAAAGTATAGATATTAAATTATAAAGTTTTTGAAGAATAGATACTAAATTTTAAAAAATTAAAGTATTAAAACGAAAAAAGAATTTACAAAACTGAAGTATTATTTTCTTATGTCTCCACATCTATTTCATGGTGGGTCCAAAATATGTTGAAAAGTCCAAAATAAAACATCTAGTGAAAGTGAAACCACTTATTTCTGAATTCCTGTTACTTCCCTATCATTTAATATTTTTTAATGCAAGTTTTTTTTTTTGTAAATATTGTTATTTACAAAATTACAATGATAATGATCATACAAAAGATTCTATATTGATAGAAAGTGAAAAGAATACTCTGGATTTTGTATTTTTTTTTTTAAATATCGTTGGAGAAACAGTTGAACTGAGATACTAAGGTTGTCTACACACAAAAGTAACAAATACAATAATCCTTATTGCAATTTGAACCGTAACACAAACTCCTCACTGGTTTCAATTTGCTCACCAGATTTATTCAAGGGAACACAAATACATGAATGCATGGTTTTTCAACACAAATCTCAGATGGTGTAATAACCTGAAATACGGTCACTGTTATTATCATTACAGGTTCCATCGTATAAGTTCTGATCACCAAGCAAGTGTTCATTCTCCTGATCGAGGAGGAAGTGACCGTTCCTCCTCCGATGATGTTTCAGGGATACCCTAATTCCCTCGAGCTCGGAAGCCACTTCTTTCATCCTCGGCCTCTCCTCTCCCTTCACTCTCGTGCACCAAACCGCTAACTCAGCCACTTCCTTGAGCTGTCTACCGTTCTCTTCACTCACTTGTAGCCGATTTTCGAGGATTTGATCTAATCTGTTCTCTTTCAGAGCCGAAGCAAAGCAAGCAACCAAGTGTCTGTCGCTTTCCGATCGTCTGAAACACAAAGCCTTCTGTCCCGAAACCAGTTCCATGAGTACGACTCCGAAGCTGTAGACATCGCTCTTTTCGTTTAGAGTGCTCGTATGGAAGTATTCCGGGTCTAAGTAACCGAGAGTGCCTTGCACGAGCGTTGTTAGCTGCTCTCGGTCCGATGGGATCAGCCTCGAAGCCCCAAAGTCGGATACTTTTGCCGAGAATTTCTCGTCCAGGAGGATGTTTGCAGGCTTCACGTCGCGATGAACTATCGGGACAGAAGCAGATGAATGAAGATACGAAATGGTTTCAGCCGTTTCGATAGCTATCCTTAGCCGATCTTCCCATTGAAGGAAAGAGTTAAACCTTGCGGGGGAGTGCAAGTGGTCAAAAAGGGTACCGTTTCTCATGAACTCGTAGATCAACAATGGAACCTCGGTTTCTAAACAGCAGCCCAAGAGCTTCACCACGTTCCTGTGATTGATCATCGAGAGGACGATGACTTCGTTGATGAACTGTTCAACTTGGCTGTGATCTCCGATTCTCGCCTTCTTGATGGCGATTTCCCGGCTATCAGGCAATATCCCTTTGTAGACAGTGCCTTGTCCACCCTCACCTAGGATCCTACTCTCGTGGAAGTTGTTAGTCGCTCTTCTGATTTCTTCCTCGGTGAAGATCCTGACATCGTCTTCCGATGAATGTGTTCGTAAGAGCCGTTGCCTCAACATGATACCCCCATTTTGCTCGAAGAATTTCTCTCTGAGTTTATCTTGCTTCCGCCGCTTGAGCTCTTGATTTATGCAGCAGAGACTAAGCAGAATGGTCAAGAACCCTACAGTGGTTCCTGGTTACACAGAACAGAACATGATCTTGATTAGATTCTCGCCATTTGTCCATATTTCTTCTTCTCTAAATCGGGTTCTTATCAGAAAACAAGAACTGAGAAAACAGGGGAAGCTTACCGAGAAGAATGACAGGCCATTCTTGTCTGTTATGAATGCAACGTTTCGTGGCATCTCCCTTGTAACCCTTTGGGCATATACAGTGAAAGCTTCCATTATTATTGCGACAATATTCCGGCTTTGCACAGTCATGGTTTCCTCGCTCACACTCGTTGATATCTGGTGCACACGGAAACAAGGCCGAAGAGACAAAGGTTGTAATGTCTGAAATCTAGACAATGGCATAAGCAAGAAATGTATAGTACCTCGACAACCGTTGGGAAGGTAGGGATTTCCATCATAGCCATCCCGACATCTACAGGTATAGCCAGGTCCATAACCAAAGTCGATGCAGTCACTGTTCTCACTGCACACACTGTTGTTTCCAACTTGGCGACAGGTCAAGTCTCCGATGAACCAATTAAACACAACAGGGAACTCAGTGATGTTTCTCAGATTCTGAAGATCCGAGACCGAGAAGTTGAAATGCCCGTCTTCGACGAGAAAGGTATAGATGCAAGGATTGAAGTAACTGGCTAGACTGTGATTGTTTAAACTATAAGGTACAGGTCTAAAGTATTTGATTCCTTCAGGGATAGAGACTTGGCAACAACCGATACCCGAGCAAAGCCCATCTTCCATAGGAGGCTGGCTCGTTTGACTCTCTCTTTCTCTCGACCTTTCGCTGTTATTGAAGGAAAGACATGTGGACTGACACCCGACCGGGTAAACTGTACCTTGAGGACCTTCGAGATAAGCGTAAGTGTTACAGCCGATACCAATAAGCTTGTTCCTGTTGCTCGAGAGAGGAAAGCCACTTAACCAGCCACTGGTTTTGTGCTCTAAAGAATCTCCGGTGTAGTTGAAGCATTCATAAGATCTGGGCATCTGGAGGGTTATTTCGCCGTCCCGAGAAACACCGAGCACTTGGACGTCGGTTTTCCTGAAGAATGGCTTGTCTGAATCTCGGTCACAAGTTATAAGGAAGCCGTCATTGAGGTAACAGCCTTGTTCTGTTCCAAAAGGGTAGTGGATAGTAAGGTTGCCACAGTTGCCTCTGCAGCCATCTTTAGGTTGGCTCCTCACTCGCCCTTCAAACGCAAACGCTAATGCTAACACAAACGCAAACGCAAACGCAAACGGACTCTGCATTTGTTTGTTTGCCCTGTAGTTTGTTTTGGTGGTCTTAACTCTTTCAAGGTGTTTCCATGGCGTTTTACTTGAGTTGCTCAATGCAGAGGCCAAGAAGTAGACGACTAGGAAATGTCAAAAGTCTTCCAGTAATAATATTATCATGTCTTTGTCATGACCAAGTCTATTGTGTGTTTACCACAAGAAACTAAAAGTAAAAGACACCAATGCAAAAGCTTGCTGAAAATGATGGCTGCCACTGGAGGCGACAGATTTGAACAGTCCACATCCTGTCTTTATCACTTGTCTACAAGCATTTGTCTTGCACAGTATATCGATACACACACTGTCTCCTTCACTGTATAAGACCATAGATCACCGAGCTAAGTGTTCAAGCTCAAGCTTGGAGTTCCCTTCATAGCCATTTCCACGGGGAAAGACTTAAAAACACTTTTTATTCGACGGTACAAAGATACTGTATCATCATCGTCCATTCACTAAAACCCGCCTGAAAACGAAGAACCAAAAATGCAATGACAGTGTAGCAAGTAACTGTGACAACTCAAGAACTATCAAGACGGCCTGTTACTTCGACTGCTGGGTTTCAAGGAAGAAGAAGAAGAAGAAGACGGCCTGGTTTTGGCAAACTCGACCAGGTCTTTGAAAAGGGTATCCTCCGGTTTCTCATCCTTCTTCATATCAGCAATAGAGGCAGTAGGGTTCAGAGATATTTTCCGGGTCTGTCCCGCAAGATCATCGTACGAGGATGAATCAGATCCGCTGCCCGAGCGATGATCGTGTAGCCCGAAGAACTGATGCCTCTGGTCGTGTCGGGAATCCCAAGGAGCCGGAGGCAACTGCTCACCAGATTCTACTACGGCTGGTGGATCATCGTAAACTGGATCTTGTTTTGCGAAAGTTTCCTCGGGGGATTTGCTTCGGGGAACTGGATCATCGAAAACAAGAGGGGAAGAATCTTGTGGACCGCATGATAGATTCACATTCTCTGAAGACCCTTCTGGTTTGTAGACATCGCCGCTGAGATAGTCGACATTACCAGAATCAACGTATACCGGTCTCGTTGTAGGCGGCGGTGGAGGAAGAATAGGGCTGAATCTTACCCCGGTCCTAACGCTTTCTGGGTTTTCCCCCCGAGATTCTTGTGCGCTCTCCCTCTTCGACCTGCAGCCAGAGAATTTCCAAGAAACGAAACTTGCAGCTAAACTCAAGATTCATGAATTTAACTAATGATCAAGAACCATGAATATTAAACATGCATATATGCCATTACCTGTGAGCTAGCTGAGCAAAATCATCATCATCATCATCATTATGGTTGACGTTGACGAGCGGTGTGGGAGGGGAAGCAGTACCGGAAACAAGGTGGCCATTCGCGATATCATCATGACGCTGGAGAGCACGCTGCAAATTATCGTTCAATGCCAATCCCTGACACAGAAGTTCCTCGTCTCTGAGAAAGGGAAAAAGGAAAAAACCGTAACCATCAGCAAAAAAAAAACTATCAAGGCGATAAAACCAAGAGCCGAAGGAAAGGAAATATGAACACTCACGTAGTGGTGTTCACCAGAGTCATTACACGTTTCTGGTAATTACGACACTGCTCGACTAAATCTACTATAACTTCTTCCTTCAAACCCTGCAACAAAATCCAGAGTAGCAACTTATATTTCGAAAGAATCAAGCCATACACTCTTACTCCAAGAAATGCCATGTTCTACCTCGGGATGGCTAGGATCAAGGGCACCCAACATTTCCAGCAAAACATCGACAGATCCCCGGGCGCTTTGAATCTCTTCCAGACTGAAAATCATGTGACGGCAAACGTAATAATCCTCGGTTGGAACATTAGAAAAAGATGAAGTATATTCAGAAGTTCTTTAAAACATTTCAAAAGGGAATTGCCAGTATTGAAAGAAAGATATGAATTCTATCTAAAACAAATAATCTATTACTGCTTAGTATCTTTTACAATGAAGTTACCTAAGTCCAGAATCATCATCATTTTGCAGTGAGGCCTGGATAGGAGCATCTTCACCCGAAGCAGCAACGGGCCGAGTCTGAGGTGGCGTAAAAAATGGGACACTGCTCTCCGTCCGTGGAGGAAAATCAACGCCGGCAGACTAGAATTCCACCCGTAAGAAAAAAACCAGTAACGATTACACTTTCAAGAAGGCCGTATAAAGAGACAGTCCAATGTTTTTTTGACTTACAATGAGTTCATTATATGCATTGTAGTACTGCGGATATCTTCCTCGGATTCCACCGAAAGCGTCTTGCCATGTATCTAATAAACTAAGTATCTTTTCCTTTACATTAAGATCGGGCTGCATAATTGACACGGGATTTCAGCACGAGCCAAGTTTGGCAACATGGAACAAAAAGTAAAAAGTCGACAAGGTGAGGATGGTAGGTAAAACCTTCTTCTTCACTATCTTGACCATTTCATGCAAAATATCGCCGTCGATGATCAGCTGATACACATTCTCACCACAATTCTTACTCAGGGTTTCCAATGCCTGTACCGACACATCACCCCCGAGCTTAAATTTTAGAATTTTTGCATATAAATAATCTCATATTTCCATTCTTTTTTATTCGAATCTATCTAACAAATATGAAGGAGCCAAACCAAAGCATTGTGGAAGGGAAGAAAAAGCACTCACATAAAGAGCCAGAAGCTGAACTTTAGGGTTTCTACTTCCTAACTGCTTCTTGAGCACCTTCAGTGCTTCTTTGGCTTGGCTACAACATCAAGAAGGAAAATTTCGGGCACTTTTCAGCTGCAAGAAATGCCATTAATTTCAACCCTAATCCAACCTCTCTCAAAAGATATCACTAATTTCAACCCTACGGTTTCTTTTCTTTTTGCTATAAACATCGAAAATGGAACAGATTCAAAAGAAAAAAATAGAGGGGAACCCTCAAGAACGCTACCTCGGATCCATGTTGATGATGTCGCAGAGCTCGATATTGATGGCCCAGTCAGGACCAATAAGCATATCATTAGTAGCCCTCTCGGCACACACCTCTCCAGTGTTCGCCATCACGGGATTTGCTTCTCAATCAAACCACAATTCTGAATTCCCTACAAGAACAGGGAGAGACAGGATAAGCTCTAACTCTATCTCTATCTAGAACATGTTAGTTGAAACCATATGCTCATATAGATCAAACACTGAATCACATCAATGACATCAGATTGTTAAGACAACAAATGCAAATTGCAACCATATCTGTGAGAAAGGCAGCATTTTTTCCCAGAACTCGGACCAAATCAGGTGGCCATGAACCCCAATCCTACAACAGAGATGGCTAGTTCTGACGAGGTTAACTGAAATCCTCAGGACATGAAGGAAGAAGAAAACAGTAATCGCAAAATGGTTTCTTTCTGGAGACCCATGTCAGATTATCCAAGCAAAGTTACGAAAACATAAATTCAGAATTTCAAAAACAACCTAGAATTTGCATCTAACAACACCAGAGAATGTCGGGATCAAAACCAAATCAAGTTGATCGCTCGAATTCTCGGATCTCATCTTGATCACCACAAATCAAAAAGAAAAAAGCGCCCACAGTAAGAACAGTAGTAATCAAAGTAAATGACAACAGAAATCAACGGGGATATGAACAAAAACGAAACCTTTACCTGCCCAGACCTAAGAACGGATCAAACAAACACCCAACGAAGAACTGCAAAATTTTAGGATCCAGAAGGTGGAATAATTTGAGGGGTTCCAGGAAGATCCTCTCTTTTCCTCGAATTGGGCTCGGGGGATTTCCTGATCGCGTTCGTCAAACCTCAACGTTCACAAATCAACTCCGACTATGTTTGTTCTAGATGCAAACTTGTGTTTTGCCTGCGACTCAATTGTGTTAAGGTGAAACGCCGGTGATGGAGAAAAGAAAATAAAGACAACACATCGAATTAACATCATTAATTTTTATTATTAGTTCGTCATCAATAATATAATTAAGGCCCTAAACTTTAATTATAAGGATAAGATTGAATGATAAAATCCCCAAACGCTGTCGCTGATACGTGTCAGAAGAAGAATCGCACTTAAAACGACGTCGTCGTCTCCATTCTCGGTCTACAAACTCAATAATTTGTGCACAATAAATTTGATATACGTCTAAACAAAACAATTTATATCTCTAAATTGTCGTGAAGGACTA